GATCCACTGACCCGATAGAGCTCTAGGGGTCCACTCCCTGGTGGGGTCAGGCCCTTGGCGGTTAGTTATCTACATCTCTGTTTGGACTAGGTCTTCGGGCCTTCAGGCCACGGGCTTCCGGTGTACACAGAGTGAGGAGGTAACAATCGTACTTCTGTGTGTATGTGTGTGTGTGTGTGTGTGTGTTTGCGCTCGTGTGTGTGTAGAGCTATAACCCCCTTGTTCTTCCTCCCAACTTATCTATTTCTCTTGAGCTTGCACCCATTGCCAACTTTGGAGAAAATCTCTCCCCTTTGAGCCATCCAACCAAAATCCATCAAATATTGAGTACTGAAGGAGGAACCCTAGATCTACAATTCGACGAAAGGAAATCATGGTCCCCCACACATGTGTTACACCAAACTTGTTATTCTTTGATATTTGGTACTCCTAGGCGGTAGGAGTCATTCACAGAAGTTTACTTACATGTGGTGTGCTCAGGTGAAGTTTACAAAGACTAGGTGGTTGCCTTCAAGAACATCCACAAGTGATTTGAAGCCCATCTGCCAGGGCTGCCTGAAAAGAGAAAAGGGTGAGACTTTGATGGTGTGTAGGAAGCTTTAGTTCTTGCACCTGTCCAGCTGAGATTAGCATTCTCCAAGAGTGTGAACTCCTGGATACAACCTCAACTCCAACTTGTTTGGATGAGTACTTGTTATTGTTACCCTGGCATATCCATTTGTCCCGAGCTTGATTGTTGTTGTGCTTGTCAATGTGGTTTTGACGTTCATTGAACTGACCAAAAGCTTTTTAACAGGACTATATGAAAAGAGATCAAAAATTTCATTAGAGTTGACAAGGCTGGCGAGAGATTGGTTATCATTCTTAGCAGAGGAGTGCAACTCAGGGAACTTTTGAAGCAGTGGCCTATCCAGCCAAAGTTAGATTGTGTTTCTTCTTGAAAGTGAGCAATAGCTTAAGATGAGATTTCCACCAACCCGAGCCTTCCATTTTCTTTCCTAGGAGCTGTGATGAGTAGTAACTTTCCCAAATCACGTGCACCAAAGGAAGGTTCTCTTTATTGAATAATTTGACGATGTTCTTCATGAACAAAGCTTTATTATGCACACAACATACATAATTCTTAGTACATCTTTGTCTTTAGGCTAGCAAACCTTGTCTTATCAAATTAGGGGAGGACCTAAATTTTCCTTGCCATACTTTCTCCAAGAAAAGTGTCTTAGGTATTTATTAATTTGTTCAATGATGCTTGTAGGAAGGGCTAGAGAACACAAGAAAAAGATTGGCAAAGCGGAGAACACAAATTTTATCAATTGCAATGTTCCATCATATGATAACAATGTAGAGCAACGTGTCAATCCTTTTTCAGTTGTTTGGAAAATGGGTGCGGAATCTTCATTTCTTAGCCTGCTAGCACTAAGAGGGAGATGAAAGTATATGAAGCGAAATCTTCTTAACTTGCATCTAAGGAGTCAAAGGAGCATATTTAGATTTCCATCAGTCACATTAATGGGCAAAAAACCTATTTATTGTAATTGATATACAATTCAGTTTGTGTAACATAATGGGCCAACAGATTGTTAATTTTCTATAGCTAATTTTCCATGGCACGTAAAGCCAAAATTATATCATGA